TAGTTTTACCAACGCCTTTTTAGGGTGTAAGCGTGGGTGATGAGTTTCGCAGGAGAAGGGGGAGGCATGGAGGTCATGTCTGAGGGCAAAGTTGGTGTGAAATAATGCAGAGAATTTGTAGTTTGGAAATTAGGAGGAGGGGGGATACCAAACTGTTGTCAGAGGGCTGAGGAAAGGGTTGTTGAGGTGGGTTTGGACATGTAGAGAGAATGGGCGAAACGAATGACTTTAAGAGGTTACGTCGAGTGGAAGGAAGGCGGGGTAGGGGTCGGGCCCAGGAAGGGTTGGGGGGAGGGGGGTAAAGGAGGTTTTGTGTGCGAGGGGCTTGGACTTCCAGCAGGCATGCTTGACGGTTTTTTAAGGAGTGAATGGAGACAAATGGTTTTTAATATTGACGTGTGTTGGGGTTGAGAAAGTAACATTTATGAAAGGGTTCAGGGAAACCGGCAGGCCGGGCTTGAGTCCTGGAGATGGGGAATACAGGCCGCACTCTGAAGGAGGGGTGTTAATGTTCAGTTTAAAAACTGTAGTGTAAAGCCCCTTCTGGGGAAGAAAATGAGGAGTGAATGAAGGGGAAATTTTTTTTTTCGGGCCACCCTGCCTTTGGGGGAATCGGCCGGGGGTGAAAAAAAAAAAAAAAAAAAAGTTTTTGGTTACCAGGAAAGGTCCGGGAGGGTTATAATTGAAAGAATTAGAGGTAAGACAAATGTAGGGTTGCGGATGAGCAAAGGGGGTTTCAAGTGGGTAGGGATGTGTAGATCAGTGTTTACATTGAAACATATATGTGAAAAGTATTTAGATAAAGGGGAGGGAATTTTTACTACATTTATGGATTTAGAAAAGGGTATGATAGAGGGATGAGGACAAAGTGGGAGAGTTGCAAGTTATGGAATGGTGGGAAATTATTAAATGTGTAAAGAGTTTTTTTGAGGATAAGAGGCCAGGTTGGGTGTGTAGAAGAGAGGGGGCTCTACTCGTAAAATAGGGTTTAAAGGTTTTTAATGTAATGGGTTTTAAAAAAAATTTAAAATTTTTAAAATAATCTAGGGTTTCAGGAGGGGGGTTGTTAAATTTTTGGGGTTTTAAAAAGGGAAGAAATTATTTTTCGGAATTTTGGTTATGGGAATTTAAAAAAAATTGCAAAGGTTGTGATGAGTTTGGGAATTTGTTGAAGGTAGAAAGTTTGAAAGGCAAAGAAAAGAGAAAAAGGGGTGGAAGGGGGATCAAAAGATTTAGATAAAGAAAAATTGGATATCAAATTTGGGGGGGTATGAAAAGTGAAAGTTTTCGATATTGGGGGTTGCGTGTCGGCGGATGGATTTATGAAGGATGAGGTTAATCATAAATTTATAGGGAAAAAAGGCGAGTGGTGCGTTTAGGTATAGGGAGTCAAAAAACGTTATCTTGGAGGGAAAAAAGGGAATGTATGAAAGTATGTGTACCCACTCTTATTGGGTGTGAAATTGGGTGGTAAATTTCAGCAGCGAGGAGACGGTTGGAGGAGGGAGATGTCCTGTTTAAAGGGAAAGGTGGTGTAAAAAATTATGCAGAAAATTCGGGTGTGGGAAAATTTGGAAAAGGGTGGAGTTAATAAAAGTATTTGCAGAGGGCAGAAAAGGGGGTTTTTGAGGTGGTTTGGTCATTTAGAAGAAAGGATCAAAAGTAGAATGAATGGAAAGAATAAAAACTTAGGGGAAGGAAGGCGGGGTAGGGGTCGTCCCCGAAAGGGTTGGAGGGGGGGGGTAAAGGAGGTTTTTGGGGCAAAGGGGGTTGGGGCTTCCCGCAAACGTGCGTGGCGTTTAGTAGGATGAATGGGAGAATGGGCTTGGGGCCTGACGATCTGTTTTGGGGTGTAGCAGGGGTAATATTTTTTTAAGGGGTTCAGGGAAACCGGGGTTTTTTCATATTGTCCTTTTAGTCCTGGGGAAAGGGGAAAACAATGCCTGCACTTTAAAGGGGGGGGTTTTTTTGGATTTGGGGTTTGGAGGGATATGCTGTGTATTTTAATGGATGCTTCTAAACTGTTGTATTAGCACCCCTGCAAAAACGTGATAAAGTTGGGGGGTGGGTGAAAGTGTTGAAAAGATGATAAAGTATTTTCTTTTTGGGGATTTTCTTTCTTTTTTGGGTCACCCTGCCTCGGTGTGGGAGACGGCCGACTTGTTGAAAAAAAAAAAAAAAATTCAGGGAAACTGGTTATTTTTATATAGCCAGACTTGGGGAAAATGAATTCGGAAATCATCAAATTTGGCTTTAGTCACACTCTCTGGAGCAGATTAATTATGATAACCAAGGGTCCACTGTATACTCCAGCATGTCTAAAACACTGTTGGGACCTATAAATACTTTATATATATTTCTAGACTATAGTATGTGACCAAGGTAGGTGAACATGTTCACCTGTCAGTGTGTTTGTGACTATTTGAGTACTATTTCAGTAACTAACATTAGTGTCAGAACAAACATTGGCTATGAAATCATAACTACTACTACAATTTGTAATTATCAGAACATAAAAATTATATAAATAAAAAAAGAGAGAGATAAAAAAAAAGGTACATCAGCAACACTTCTGCAAGCGTCAGGACTCAATACAGTGGACCCCCGCATACCGCACGCATCGCATACCATACAATCCGCATACCGCTCGCTTTTTTCGCAAAAATTTTGCCTCGCATACCGCCCAAAAACCCGCTCACCGCTCTTCGTCCGAGACGCGTCCAATGTGCGGCCTGAGCCACGCTCACATGTTCCGCCGGTGGCATTGTTTACCAGCCAGCCTCCGCGGTAACATCCAAGCATACAATCGGAACATTTCGTATTATTACAGTGTTTTTGGTGATTTTTTCTGGAAAATAAGTGACCATGGGCCCCAAGAAAGCTTCTAGTGCCAACCCTACAGCAATAAGGGTGAGAATTACTATAGAGATGAAGAAAAAGATCATTGATAAGTATGAAAGTGGAGTGCGTGTCTCCGAGCTGGCCAGGTTGTACAATAAACCCCAATCAACCATCGCTATTATTGGTGGTACAGCTGCTGTACCACCGTCAGCTGCTGCTGCACTGTCAGCTGCTGCTGCACTGTCAGCTGCTGCTGCACTGTCAGCTGCTGCTGTACCACCGTCAGCTGCTGCTGCACTGTCAGCTGCTGCTGCTGTTGTACCACCATCAGCTGCTGCTGCTGCTGTATTACCGCCTGCTGCTGCTGTAGCATCGTCCTGCTGCTGCTGTAGCATCGTCTGTTTGCTGCTGTAGCATCGTCTGCTGCTGCTGTAGCATCGTCTGCTGCTGCTGTAGCATCGTCTGCTGCTGCTGTAGCATCGTCTGCTGCTGCTGTAGCATCGTCTGTTGCTGCTGTAGCATCGTCTGTTGCTGCTGAAACCACCGTCAGCTGCTGCTGCTGCTGTAGCACCGTTGTTGGTGTGGCTTATTGAGAATACCAAGAAACAATTAACCCCAGAGGATTTGCCACCCAGGATAACCCAAAAAGTCAGTTTTCATCGAAGACTGGCTAACTTATTTCCATTGGGGTCCTTAATCTTGTCTCCCAGGATGCAACCCACACCAGTCGACTAACACCCAGGTGAACAGGGAAAAATGCCTGGAACTAGTGCTCATATTGGTGAATTTAAAGCCAGCAAAGGTTGGTTTGAGAGATTTAAGAATCGTAGTGGCATACACAGTGTGATAAGGCCTGTTCTGGAAGAAAATGCCAAACAGGACCTACAGTACTCAGGAGGAAAAGGCACTCCCAGGACACAGTGTCTCATCAGTCATTGCTGCATCTTCAATAAAGGTAAGTGTCATTTATTCTTCATTTAGTAGAGTAGTACATGCACAATATATATTGTGCATGTACTACTCTACTATTGTGCATGTATCCTTCTCTTTGTGTGTAGGAAAATGTATATTTCATGTGGTAAAATTTTTTTTTTTCATACTTTTGGGTCTTGCACGGATTAATTTGATTTCCATTATTTCTTATGGGGAAAATTCATTCGCATACCGAACATTTCGCATAGCATTCAGCCCTCTTGCACGGATTAAAGTTGCTATGCGGGGGGTCCACTGTATTGCCGTCGAGCGAGAATGCAGCGCCACCTTCACGGTCTTATATCTCGGTAAGTACTGACTGCTGGGAGAGAGAACGTAGATCTACGTTTGGACAGTTAACAGGTTAAAGACATAAATAAGCCACTAGGATGTCAGAAAGTATTTCTTCAGTCTTAGGGTGGTCACAAAGTGGAATGATCTCAGCAAACTGGTGGTAGAGGCAGGCTCTATACATAGCTTTAAGAGCAGGTATGATAAGGGCCACAAGGCTAGGAAGTGAATATGAAGTGACAAGTTGAGAGGAAGGGCCAAGAGCTGAGGCTTAGCACCTGCAGCTACATGTAGGTCAGTAATGCAGGACTGGAAATTTACAGTAGTAATGCAAAAAATTTAATTCTTTAGACTTAGTAAGGAACTGGACAAAATTAATAAACACTCAGATTACACTAAGTGGTTAAGACAAAAAAGAATTACTTAAGGAGAGATTTATCAAATCAAAGGCTCATTGAGTATAACTATGTCATAGTAAAGAATACTAGCAGCTCTACTCCAGAGTATTACTATTACACACATTTGTCAGAACTCTACTTGATTATCAAACACAGAATTAAAAATGACGTGTTCCCTAACTTGGAATCAGTTATATAATTCAACACTTTTTTTTCAAAGGCCAGTTCCAATTTTTTGTAGCACATCGGCTTTTTCCCACCGAGGCAGGGTGACCCAAAAATAAGAAACACTTTCGTCATCACTCACTCCACCAGTGTCTTGCCGGTGGAGTGTCAAAACTAGTTCAAAAACTGTAACGTATCTCCACCCCTCCTTCATAAATGCATACAGTATATCAATAAATTTAAGCACAGTAAAAAAATGTGCACTGAGAATACTATTAAAGAAAAAATACTACTTCCTATCTGCTGAGATAAAACAAATTAGCAAGAACTCACCTATGCATATGGCTTCTCCTTTTGTAGTACTAACAACAATTTCTTCATTTAATTCTATACCATTTTCATAGCGTAGTACACCCGGTAACATAATCTTGGCACCATAACAAACAGCATTAACTGCAGAATCCTGACACAAATACAAGCCAGAAATCAAGTTAGACAAGTAGTAACTTCGATAAAAAAAATATAAAAGTAAAAAAATATACACAAAGTTTACTTAAGAAATATTAAAAACTAGTAAATAAATTTCAGATTAAAATATAATGCATCACTAAAGATATTAAATAGTATAAAAAATTTTATTGAGAATATATTCTAAATATAGTAAGCCCTCATGACTCTATGAAATCATAACAAGATGACTGAAAACAAACCACAGAACAGGTGGTGCTTGAAACATGGTAAGTAAGTAAGCTCTTTTACATAGCTCCTCCATTTAGTGCTATTCTTCACAAATGCAACAGAGAACAAGCACAACCAAAATTGTAGAGCCTATGGAAAGGTCTTCATGGTGCCTGATATTCAATTGCTAGTGCATGTTTTCAATTGCATTTGCCAAAGACTGCACTAAAAACTAAACATTTATAAGAAAGATGATAGTAATTGACTGTCCTGTAATTTTTTACCTGGTAATTACAACATTAACTGTTCTTTTTAACACTGGCCATCTACCACCCAGGAGGAGGTGGAGGAGGAAAGGAGGGAGGAGGAGGAGGAGGAAAGGAGAGGAGGAGAAGGAGGCAAAAGGAGGAGGGACGGGAGGAAAAGGAGGAGGAGGAGAGGGAAAGGGGAGGAGGGGAGAGGAGGAGGGAGAGGAGGAGGAGGAGGGAGAGGGAGAGAGGGAGGAGGAGGGAGGAGGAGGGAGAGGAGGAGGAGGAGAGGAGGAGGAGGGAGAGGAGGAGGAGGGAGAGGAGGGGAGGAGAGGAGGAGGAGGAGGGAGAGAGGAGGAGGAGAGGGAGGAAGGAGGGAGAGGAGGAGGAGGAGGGAGAGGAGGAGGAGAGGGAGAGGAGGAGGGGGAGGAGGAGAGGGGGAGAGAGGAGGGGGAGGAGAGGAGGAGGAGGAGGAGGGAGGAGGGAGAGGAGAGGAGGAGGGAGAGGGAGGAGGGAGAGGAGGAGGGGAGGAGGAGGAGGGGGAGGAGAAGAGGAGGAGGAGAGAGAGAGGAGGAGGAGAGAGGAGGAGGAGGAGAGAGGAGGAGGAGGAGGAGGAGGGGAGGAGGGAGAGAGGGAGGGAGAAGAAGAGGAGGAGGAAGAGGAGGAGGGGGAAAGGGAGGAGGAGGGAGGGGGGAGGAGGGGGAGGAGGAGGGGGAGGAGGGGGGGAGGAGGGGGGGAGGAGGAGGAGGGGGGGGGAGGGGGAGGAGGAGGGGGGGAGGAGGGGGAGGGGAGGGAGGGGAGGAGGAGGAGGGGGAGGAGGAGGGGGAGGAGGAGGAGGAGGGAGGAGGAGGAGGAGAGGAGGAGGAGGAGGAGGAGGAGAGGAGAGGAGGAGGAGGAGAGGAGGAGGAGGAGGAGGAGGAGGAGGGAGGAGGAGGAGAGAGGAGGAGGAGGAGAGGAGGAGAGAGGAGGAGGAGGAGAGGAGAGGAGAGGAGGGGAGGAGGAGGAGGGAGGAGGAGGAGGGGAGGAGGAGGAGGGGAGGAGGAGGAGGGGAGGGGGGAGGGGAGGAGGAGGAGGGGAGGAGGAGGAGGGGAGGAGGAGGAGGGGAGGGGAGGGGAGGAGGAGGGGGAGGGGAGGAGGGGAGGAGGGGGAGGAGGGGGGGGGGGAGGAGGGGGGGGGAGGGGGGAGGAGGAGGGAGGAGGGGGGGGGAGGAGGAAGGGAAGAGGAAGAAGGAACACTTTCATCAATGTTTTGTCAGAGGCACACTAGTGTTACAACAGATGTCCCTCCAAACTCCAATATCCTCACCCATCTTTCAGAGTGCAGGAACTGTACTTCCCACCTCCAGGACTCAAGTCTGGCTAACCAGTTTCCCTGAATCCCTTCATAAATGTTACAGATGTCCAAGCCCCTTGAATACAAGACACCTTCTCCTCAAATGACTAAACTTAATAAGAAGAAAAACTTTGCTGCTTCTTTTTCAAGTCAGCTTCCTTGGTGGGAGATGGCCAGTAACATAACCTGAAAAAGAAACACTTTCACTATCATTCACACTATCACTCTCTTGCCAGAGGTGCACAGATATGACAGTGTAGATGTTCCTCCAAACAGCAAATATCCCAAACCCCTCCTTTAGAGTACAAGCATTGTACTTCCCACCTCCTGGACTCAAGTCTGGCTAACCAGTTTCTCTGAATCCCTTCACAAAATATTACCTTGCTCATACTCCAACAGCTCATTAGGTCCGAAAAACTCAGTCCTATCTAACATAGCTGCTGTATGTCCAAGCCCCTTGCAAACAAAACCTCCTTTACCACTTCCCTCCATCCTTTCCTATGGCGACCCCCTACCCTGCCTTCCGTCCACTACAGATTTATGCACCCTTCAAGTCATCCTATTTTGCTCCATCCTCTCTAAATGAACACACACACAAATGTTAGAACAGCAGTACTGTGGCACATTTGGACCTGTGTGTTTACGCTGTGTATACATGTTTTGTAAATAATGTACCAATGATGCCATTAGTATGGATATTGTCTTGTATAAAATGGGTGGCCATTTGTATATTGTGCATGAAATGGGTCTCACAGACCACAAAAATTAGTGGAAAATGGAAACAAAATTAGAAAAAAATATGGCGCATGTGGCATTCACCGGGACACTGACCTTCAACTTCATGCTTTCATGTTTTGGTATTTAGTAATTTTTTTTTCAAATGCAGATGCTGCCAGCATTTTTAATTTTGGGGCTTATGACAGTAAAGTGGTTAAAAAGTACCCAACTTAAAAATTTAATGACAATAATATTATGTTGTTGAATAAAGGGGTTAAAATTTACTAGATTAAAATTTTTTTAGTGATAATAATATTTATGCAGCTAAATATTCTTAAAATTAACAAGCAACACTAATGATACGAAGAGGACTGCAGTGTTTCAACGTGGAGATAGAAAAACAAATCAACAGAAAACAAAATTTACCTTCATTATAATTCTTTTGTGACCAATTAGTATGGATTCCAATGGTTTAATAACCCGCCGCAGGTACCTTTCATCATTGTGATTGTCGTAGAGCCACTGAGCATCCAAAATATCATGCATTTTTACCAAATTGTCATTTTCTCCCTGTATACCTGGAAAAGAAGCAAAACATAATAACATTTATTTAACACACTGGCTGTCTCTCACTGAGGCAGAGTGACCTGAAAACAGAAACACTGTCACCATCATTTACCTTATCACTGTCTTGCCAGAGGCATGTAGATATGACAGTTTAGTCACTCTAAACAGCAAATATCCAATGTATTAAAGTATATGTTCAGTGACATGATGCTCCTTGTATTCTCAGTTGCCCACGACCTTGTTGTAGTAGGAGGGAGAGGGGCAGGAGGAGAGAAGGGAAGGGAAGGGGAAGAGAAAGCAAAGGGGAGAGAAGGGAAGGGGGTGCAATATTTTGTACAACACTTTGTATTTACAATACTGGCATTTCTAACCAATTTATTATTTATGAACAAATGACTCGCTTTTCCAATGTTTTTATTTATGGGAAAATAGGTTCTAAGCACCAAAGAATCAACCAGCAATGAATTTTGAAGACATTAACATCACATACTGGGGTTCCACTGTACCTACCTAATTACAGAACTGTTATGGGACCTTATCTCTTTTGCATCAAATATTTAGGGATTTTTTTATTATTATTTATCAACATATCGGCTGTTTCCCACCAAGGTAGGGTGGCCCAAAAAAGAAAAACTTTCACCAACATTCACTCCACCACTGTTTTGCCAGAGGCAGGCTTACACTACAGTTATAAAACTGTAACATTAACACACCTCCTTCACAGTGCAGGCACTGTACTTCCCATCTCCAGGACTTAAGTCCGGCCTGTCGGTTTCCCTGAATCCCTTCATAAATTTTACCTTGCTCACACTCCAACAGCACGTCAAGTACTAAAAACCATTTGTCTCCATTCGTCTACCTAACACGCTCACGTATGCTTGCTGGAAGTCCAAGCCCCTCGCACACAAAACCTCCTTTACCCCCTCCCTCCAAGCATTCCTAGGCCAACCCCTACCCCGCCTTCCCTCCACTACAGATTTACACACTCTTGAAGTCATTCTGTTTCGTTCCATTCTCTCTACATGTCTGAACCACCTCAACAACCTCTCCTCAGTCCTCTGGATAATAGTTTTGGTAATCCCGCACCTCCTCCTAATTTCCAAACTACGAATTCTCTTTATTATATTCACACCACACATTGCTATCAGACACGACATCTCCACTGCCTCCAGCCTTCTTGTTGCAACATTCACTATCCATGCTTCACACTCATATAAGAGTATTGGTACATTCCCCACTGAGGAGTCTGTCTCCACAGACTCCTCAGTGCACCATTCACCCTTTCCCCCCTTATCAAGTCTATGATTCACCTCATCTTTCGTAGACCCATCTGCTGACACATCCACTCTTAGATATGTATTTAGGGATACTGACTGATAAAAACTGTTGGGATGTGAAGTATGGGGAAGGGGAGGGTCACTGTTTTTTTTATATTATTCTATCTTAACCCTTTGACTGTCGCAACCCCCAATCCTGAGGTGTCTCCTGGTGTCGCAAAATTAAAAAAAAAAAAAATAATTTTTTCTTATGAAATGATAGAGAATCTTTTCCCGATTGTAATGACACCAAAAAAACGAAATTTGATGGAAAACTGACAGAATTATGCTCTCGCAAAGTTAGCGACCTCGGCGCTGTTTACAAATCGGCGATTTTGCCCACTTTGAGCCCTATTTTCGGCTAATTCCATTGTTCCAGTCGCCCAAACTCATAGCTATTTCTTTAGAACTCCATTTTCTATCGATTGAGCACAAAAAATTGCCCATTTATCGATTTCAACTACCTAATAATGTGGTCAGAAATTTGCAATTTGGCCAATTTCACGAAAACTAAAAAATATGACAATTTCAAAATAAGGTCCAGAATGAACAATGCAGACATTCCTGGCTCTAAAATAACATTTTCTTTGCTCATCAGTCACGTCTCCAGGCCCCTCTGATATTACTCTTCCTTTCTATTTTGAATTTTTATTCAAACAAAAAATTGAAGACTTACTATTATGCAGACTACTGCAATACTGTAATAATTGTATAAATAACATCAACCCATTCATGACTGCATATTAGAATGGCTAGTTGGACATTTATTGGACAATGGCATCATTTGTTTACTTTTGAACATTGGCAAAAATCAAACATTTCCCCTACTTTGAGCTCCATTTCTAGGTTCTTTTTATAGGAAAATCAATCAAAATCACCTCTATTTCTATAATATGTTTCCCATTCTATCAAATGAGACCAAGAAAACGAGAATACAACCATAAATACTATACGAAAATAGACCACAAAGTCGGCATTTTAATTAAAAAAAAAAAAACGGTCTGAGTTTTTTTGTTCTCATTATGCACTGCGTGCTCCAGGATTTTTTTTATATGGTGCACACTGACCACACAGACCCATTCTCCTGCTTGATTTGAAGCCGCTAGAATTTATGAGTATATATACGTCAAAGTACCTCGTAAGACATATATATACGGCCGCGACAGTCAAAGGGTTAAGACTAGTATACTAATTTAGTTGAGGCAACTTAGAATATAAATATAAAATTCTTCTGGCATGATACTGGACTCTGAGTAATAAACTAACTGATAACTGAGAATATATGACCATCAAGAAGTACACTTCATTCAATTTATGTTACCTGGAATAAAAAACATTTTTAACTGGCTGGCAAATAAATGCACAAAAACTGTTGAATTTGATATTTTTTGTGACAAACACTTAACCTACCCAATAAAAACAATACCAGAAGTCAGTGTGTTATGGCAAGATATATTACTGAAGCAGGGCAAATGTATCACCATATCTTGGTAGGAACTATGCAGTTATAGTAACACAGGCAGGAGAGATACATGACTGTATACACTTGGAAAACCCTAGAGGGATTGGCACCAAATCTGCACACGAAAATCACTCCCTATGAAGCAAAAGACTTGGCAGACGATGCAACACCCCCCCCCAATAAAAAGCAGGGGTGCCACTAGCATGATAAGACACAACACAATAAGAGCGAGGGGCCCAAGACTGTTCAATTGCCTGCCAGCATACAAAAGGGGTATTAAAAATAGAGCCCTGGCTGTCTTCAAGTAGGCTTTGGGCAGGCACTTAAAGTCAGTACCTGATCAGCTGGGCTGTGGTTCGTACGCTGGTTTACGTGCAGCCAACACTAATAGCCTGGTTGATCAGGCCCTGATCCACCACGAGGCCTGATCACAGACCGGGCCTCGGGGGCGCTGATCCCCGAAACCCTCTCAAGGTATACTCAAGATATATAGAAATGGCAATCTCTTTGTCTAGCTCCTAGCCTAGAAGTTAATTGGATTTTAACTATGTTATGTATAAAAAAAAATGGGTGTAAGGACAAAATTAATGCCAATGAATTATAAGTGTAATTAGTGTTGTTGCATCTGTGCTCATTGTAATGTACTTTTCTCTTCATACCATTCTAGTTCAGTGGAATACTGTATATTAAATGTTGTTACACACCACAGGTCTTCAATGTAGATGAATCTGGAATGTGTCATGAATCACTTGTCATGCATTAAATGACTGCTCATTACCACAAAAGCTAAGAATTTCCTTTTCCTATACCACTGGATTTCGTCTAAGGAGTTTAATAATGTACCCCAATGATCATAGCTTCCTAAACATTTAGTAAGGTATGTCAGTAGTCTGGGAAGTACAGTGCCTGCACTCTGAAGGACAGGTGGAGATATGTTGTAGTTTTTGTACTGTAGTATCAACATGCCTCTGGTAAGACAGTGAACAAAAAAAAAAGAAAGTTGGTATTCTGTTTATGTGACTACAGAAGATAAATTTGGTGTTGATACACTGACTTTTTTCTTTGATTCCTTAAATAATGTTCCTCTAAAATAGTATACTTTCTCTAGTGTTCAATTTTATTACTGCATTGTTCAAGTAGCTAAATGAAAACTAGTCATCTAACTGCATTAGTTAAGGATAAAGTTCACTTTTGTTCTGTTGAGTCTCTACTATTCTTGTTTATTTTATTTTTACTAAAATTAGGAAGAGCTAAACTCATTACTTCATACAGTCTAGAAAATGGAGACAATCAATCCTAGGAAGTGGAGGGCAGGGTCAATTCCTTGGATCAAGAGCCCTCCTACCAGCATCAAGGCACCTCCCTTGATGGAGTGATTTCCATAGTGTTGTTTCATATACAATCATCCTCCAAGCAAACAAACATCCCATTTTTATGATCATGAAAGCAGACAACAAAGAAACTTGACAGCATCTTAAGCATCGGTATATTGTTAACCCTTTCAGTGTCTGTGCTGTAGTACTCTGCCATGAGCTCACCTCACTCAGATAAGCTGTGAGCAGTAAATTTGGGCCTAGATATGAGAGAATGGGTCTATGTGGTAAGTGTGGACTACATATAAAAAAATCCTGCAGCACACAGTGTATAATGAGATAAAACTGAGTGTTTCTGGCTTAAAACAGCAACTCTGTGGTGTATTTTTGTGTGATTTTATGGTTATATTCTCGGTTTCTTGATCTCATTTGATAGAACTGAAGATATATTACAGAAATAGAGATGATTCTGATTGGTTTCAGGACTGAAAATAGCTTGAAATTGAGCTCAAAGTAGCAGAAATGTTCAATTTTTGCTGATATTCAAGAGTAACCAAATCACATCACTCATCCAATACATGTCCAACTTGTGGGTCTAATATGCATTCACGAATGTGCTGATATTATTTATACAATTATTACAATACTGCATAACAGTAAATCTTCTATTTATTTGTGTGAATAAAAAACTGAAAATTCTTTGCGTGAATAAAAAGATGAAAATTCTTTGTGTGAATAAAAAATAAAAATGGAATTCATATATAAAGCCAGGGAACATAACAAATGAACAGAGGAAACATTATTGTAGTGCCAGGAACACCTGCCTTGTTTATTCTGGACCTTATTTTGAAATTGGAATATTTTGAAATTTGTGTGAAATTGGGTAGTTGAAATAGTTGATTGGGTGGTTTCTTGTACTCAGTAAAATTAACATAAATTATCAATAAAAATTTGTAATTTGTGTTTTATTACCTTCAGAAAAGATTCTCTACCATTTCATAATTTTTTTTTTTTTTCAAATTCTTAAATTTTTAAATCAGGGGTCTGGACAATGAAAATATTAAGACTCCAACAGAACAGCTAAAATATCAAAAGAACAAAATAATCTCTTAAAAGGAGAACCCAAAAACACAAATATACAACTAACCTGAACGCACTCTCCGCAGCTCCTGCATCTGCCCTCCTGTACCCAAGTGAAGGCCTAGGTGTACACACATTGTCCGGATGTAGGTACCAGCTTCGCAACTCACCCAAAATAAACCTGAAAAGTTAGATAATATATAATTATTAGAAGAAAAAGCCAAATTAATTGACTTATGTTAAATGACACTGGATACCTAATGTTCGAAGAATGCTGGCATAATGGACTAAGGCAGGGGTCAGAGAACTGGGGTAAATTACCCCAAATGGGGTAAAAATGCAAATCTCGAGGGGTAATAAAGATTCATTAAACATGTACAGTGAAACCCCGGGTTTCGGCCACCCTGGGAATCGGCTGCTTCGGATTTCGACCTTTTTTTGGCATCCAGCCAGCCAGGCATCCAACCAGGCAGGCATCCAGTCAGCCAGGCAACCAGCCAGCTAGGCAATCAGTCAGCCAGGAAGCTGAAAAATTTGTGCATGAATTTAAAGGGGTATGTAGAGACTGAAAAATTAAAACCCCAACAAGTGTTCAATTGTGACGAAACAGTAGTGTTTTGGAAGAAAATGCCAAAGAGGACCTACATTACTCAGGAGGAAAAGGCCCTGACAGGACACAAGCCTATGAAAGACAGGCTAACTCTTTTGTTCTGTGCTGGCATCTTCCAGATGCCAGCAAGTCTCTTCAATAAATGTAAGCAAATGTTATTTTAAATGTTTATTTACATTTTAATTTATCTATTGTGATAGTAGAGGGTAACGAGTGACTAGCTCCCTTAAGGGGGCTGTAGGGCAATTGGCCGCGCGCGCTCACCGAAAAATCGGAAAAATATGGATATTGAGTTATATATACTGAAAAAAAGCTCAACTCTTTGGCAACACAATGGTACCAGAATGAATGTTCTACGACGTTTCTACAAGAAATTATAGTCATTTATATCAGGTATGGTGACGGCGATGTTGGTACCGAGTCTGCTCACGGCCTATATATTTTTTGGAGTTATTTTCTTGTTTTTTATCGCCTTTTCTTGCATTATTCTTTCTAATATAATAACTGACTATTTGGCATCATAAAACAGTAGGCGGGACTTATCCTGAGACTTAGTGACTGCCGGGAACCAGATGGGAACGCTCAGCAGTGTGCCACCGCTCGAGGTGCCAGCCAGGAATCACCCATTATTACGCTTATATCAGCTTATATATCAACTCTACGGCTTATTTGTCTATCAGAATTGATCTAATATGATATAATAAACACTCTAAATAACATACAAACATGTTATATACTCTAGACTGAATAAAATAGGCCATAATATGGCCCAGAGATTATCGGGAATATTTCGATATAAAAGTGTAACTGGTCACCTGTCGTCTCTGAGTAAGAGAAAACGGTGTTTTGAAGAGGATAACTGCACTAGAACATCAGTTTACTAAGAAATACACCCAAACAAACGCGATTTTCGCGAATTTTTTTTTTTTTTTTTTTGAGACGGGGGCCGGCCGGCGTTCCCGGCCGATATCTCGGAAGTAACTTATTCACCTATAATTCGATGTGGCTCCTTTATTACTTAATTAAATGGAATAATATTCACAGATATTGTAGAATAATGATTTCTCTTATCCTGACCGTAGAGTTTTTGAAAATATTCCAAATAGTTCGGGAGTTATGTGGGAGTAAAGGGCAGATTTTTTTGCAATATTCCAGAAACTAACAAACTTTATTTTTTTGTGAAATAACGATAAGGTATTTAGAGGGAAATCCTACGGTCCGAATTAGTATTAGCATTGTTCTCTCGGCACCAAGTGTCCAAACCACCTTACGTAGCCGCATATAAGAGTTGCATCAAAATCAAGGGCATTTTCAGTAAATCAGTCTTTTCTCAGTTGTTGTTTGAGGTATATTTTTTATAAATATTTTCGAGAAAGAGTGAGAACACTTTGTCTTGTGCACCAAAACTGGAGAAAATCGGACGGTAAATAAACGAGTTACGAAATTTGCCCTACAGCCCCCTTAAGGTTTACTATACAAATAGTAGCAGTCTAAGAAATAAGATAGATGAGCTAAGATTACTCGCAAGTGCAGGTAATACAGATATTACTGCTATAACTGAGACCTGGTTCAACTTGAAGAATAGAGAAATGCCTTCTGAATGCAGCATAAAGGGTTATAAACTATTCCACACTGATAGGGTCAACAAGAAGGGTGGTGGTGTGGCGATGTATGTCAGAGATGATTTAAATTGTGTTAGACATGATGTAAGAGCAAAGATGCTCTGTGGCCTCATGACTCCAATCTCTTCCAACCTTTTCTTGAAGCTCTTAATAATCTTGCCCCTTCCATTAAGTTTAAAGCTGAATGGGAATCTAACTCCTTGCTTCCTTTCCTTAATGTCCACATCCACCGCTCAGATACAGGTTATTCCTTTTCCATTTACCGAAAACCTATGCACAGTGGCATGTACATTCACTACTTTTCCTATCATGCTTCCCGTCAAGAAAAGTGTTCTCATCTCCCTCTTTCTCTGTGCCCTCCGCATCTGTGATCCTCAGTTCCTTCCAGCAGAAATTTCCACTTTTCATAATTCGTTTTCCCGTCTTGGCTACCCTTCCCGTTTCATAGACTGCCTTCTCACGAGCTAAACGTAATTTCTTCTCTCCCAAACTCTCTACTCCTGGGAACTCTTCTGCCCTCTGCCTTCCCTACATTTCCGGTATTTCTAATCTCAACAATTCTCTCCGTCCCTTAGACATCAAGCTTACTTTCCGCCAGACTAACACTCTTCGCACTAATCTCGTTCATACCTCTCCTCCCTCTACAGATGTTCCTGGTGTCTACTCTATTTCTTGCTCCTCCTGTCCTCTTCAATACTTTGGAGAAACTGGCCAATCTCTTTCTGACAGACTTAGGGAGCACAAAAATAGTGTTAGGCTTGCCGACACTAACAATGCTCTTTTCTGTCACGTCAGAGATCACAGCTATCCTATAGACTGGTCTTCTGCTAAAACTGTCTTCCCTACTTCCAACTTTAACAGTCGCCGTCTTGTTGAATCCTCTCTAATACACAACTTTCCTTGTATGAATCTTAGTCCTGGCTTCGTCTCTGTAGATGCCTTCCTCTCCCACTACATTGTAAAATGCTCCAAACTTCAGAACACCCATGACTTAACCTGATTCCTCATTTTTTCTTCTTCTCCCTCTTTTCTTTTTTTGCCTTTCTTCTGTCGCCGTGTTTCTGTTCCTTCATTATTTATTTCATCACTTCCCCTTCCCCCACCTCTGTGCACTTGCTCTCCATCTGTGGGCACCTAGCTCCCTTGCAGTGCTCCCCTTTCTTTATATTTGACTGGCCCCTCCTCCTTAGTTCCCCACTACTTCCACTACTACTACCACTACTACTACTATCACTACTAATACCACCACTACCTCTTCCTGCCTATATATAGCCGTCCTGCTCCAGTTCTGGTTAGTGTGACTTTGCAAATGGTCCAAGTTGGACCAAAACGTCGGCGTAAGCTCCTCTCTTCTATGTGCGGGTTATTTGTGTATCGTTCCCGTCACGGTATTGTGCCTTTTTTTGTTATTTCTCTATGGACAGATTTGTTGTGCGACAGAGGTCCAGTGACTCTCAAGCTGGTCCTAGTGGCATTAACCCTTTGACTGTTTACGCCGTATAAATACGTCTTACGCACCACTGTCTGACGTATATATACTCAATAATTCTAGCGGCTTCAAATCAAGTGGGAGAAAGCTGGTAGGCCCACATGTGAGAGAATGGGTGTGTGTGGTCACTGTGCACCACATAAAAAAAATCCTGCAGCACACAGTGCGTAATGAGAAAAAAAATTGATCGTTTTTTTGGATTAAAGCGCCGACTTTGAGATGTATTTTTACATAGTATTTATCGTTGTATTCGCGTTTTCATGGTCTTAGGTGATAAAATGGAAAACATATTACAGAAATAGAGATGATTTTCATTACTTTGACGATGAAAACGACCTTGAAACTGAGCTCAAATTAGCGGAAATGTTCGATTTTTACCAATGTTCACGAGTAAACAAATCACACCATACGTCCAATACACGTCAACTGGGGAGTCTAATATTCTTTCACTAGTGCAGTGACATTATTTATACCATTTTTACAATAATGCAGTAGTCTGCATAGCAGTAAATTTTGTATTTTTTTTGTACGAATAAAAAATCAAAATAGAAAGCAATAATAATATAAGAGGGGCCTAGAGATGTGACTAATGAACAGAGGATATGTTATTTTAGTGCCAAGAATGTCTACCTTGTTTATTCTGGACCCTATTTTGAAATTGGCATCTTTATTATTTTGCGTGAAATTGGCCAAATTGCCAATTTCTGACCACTTTATTGGGTAGTTCAAATTGGTAAATGGGCGGTTTCTTGTACTCACCTGATAGATAAAATGGAGTTCTAAAGAAATAGCTATGAATTTGGTCAACTGGAACAACGGAATTGGCTGAAAACATCAGCGAAATCACCAATTCGCATATGTCGCCAAGACCGCTAACTTCGCGGGAGCGTAATTCCGTGAGTTTTCGATCAAATTTCGAACTTTTGGTGTCATTACCATCGGGAAAAGATTTTCTATCATTTCATAAGAAAAAATAATTTTTTTTTCTTCAAAAATTTATCGACATAGAATGACAGTTTCAGAGGGGCCTGCGACAGTCAAAGGGTTAAAAGAAGAAGGGAAGTAACCCCGAAAAAGGACTTGCTACTTCAAGTCCTAATGGAAGGGGATTTCCCTTCTAAACAATAACTTCCACACTCTCCCCTCCCATCAATCAACACCAGATTTTCAATAAAGGTAAGTGTCATGTATTCTATTCTCAGTAGAGTAGTAATTGTGCATGTCTTCTTCAGTTTGTGTGTATTAAAATTAATATTTCATGTGGTAAATTTTTTTTTTTCATACTTTGGGGTGTCAGGAACGGATTAATTTGATCTCAATTATTTCTTATGGGGAAAATTAATTAGGCTAACAATAATTCCGGCTCACGATGAGCTCTCAGGAACGGATTAATATCGTAAGGCGGGGGTCAACTGAGGTGTCTCCTGGTGTTGCAAAATTCCCCCCGCCCCCAAATTTTC